GTGCATCAAATATGCCATGCATGTCACATATGCCATACTGGAGTGTGTGTCGTGTGTTACATGTATCATACATGTCACATGTGCTATGGGTGCCATATGCACCATGCATGCCATCTGTATCATATATTTTTCATATGTCATGTATGTCATCATTATCTGTATTCTTTATAATTATGAGTTATTATATGAATTATTATATTTAATCAATAAAAATATTGGAGATATCAAATCTAATGTTTTCAACATTGAAATCTCAAATCTAATGCTTATTGTTCTGAGCTCTATAAGGGTGTTAGTTATTCAGAGTTATATCACGTTGCCTTGCCTTTGTATAAAATCCTTCTCTCTGACATGTTTTAGGAGCATGGCAAGGTTTATGCAATACTCCAAGGTATAGATTGAATGGATGTATTTTGTCTCTGAATCATCAAGGTGAATTTGTCAAGAAAAACAATAATTTCAAACATAATCACTACTGGGTATATTGTCAAAAACACCCAAAATCTCAAACTGACCATCATAATTAAAAAACCAACTCATTCTCTTTATATATTATTCTCAGATTGGATTTAGTTTTCCTATTGGATCGACCTTGGAATTCAACAAGGGGCAATAATGAGGAGGGAAAGAAACACAAAAATGCATTGGTAAATTAATTATTTTTTATACTGTGTATTTAATTAATGTAGTGCCATTGAAAGTTCAAAGGAAAGCATCTCACGTAATGAAATTCGTCTTATTTGAATTTAGACTAGAATTTTAAGATAAATGCTAGCTCTTTTTGTTGTTGTTGTTGTTGGTCATGGATCTTGAACTCTGGGCCTGGGTGCTGTCCCTCAGCAATTCAGCTCAAGGCAAGAGCTCTACCTCTTGAGCCACAGTGCCATTTTCAGTTTTCTAGTGGTTTATTGGAGATAAGAATCTCAAAGACTTTCCTGCTTGGGCTGGCTTTGAACTGTGATCCTCAGATCTCAGCCTCCTGAGTAGCTAGGATTACAGGTGTAAGCTACAGCTCCTAGCTAGAAATTCTGGTTCTTAAATGCCACCCCCGTCCCCAAATTAGAGAAGTGGCGAGGAAGATGAGAATTGGTGGTCACCTTACTTAACAACTCGTCTATGAGTCATTTTTTTCACCTATATTCTAATAATAGAAAAGTTAAGAGCTAACTTCCCGTAACAGGAAATCCCAGCATTTCTTAGATGCATTTGAATAGATTTTTTCTATAAAACAACTCTTTATTTTAAATAGTTTCTATAGATAAACTTCCAACTTATCTTCAAAACTGAAGTATAAAAATCTATCTTATTCTTTTAGGTATTGATTTTTAAATTTAATTAAATTCTATTGGATTTGGCTTTGGTTGCAAGTTTATTTTATAGCATTCTTAATTAGTTTTGGGGAGTTTGATATATATATATATATAGAGAGAGAGATAGATAGATAGATAGATAGATAGATAGATAGATAGATAGAGATAGATAGATATATAGATATAGTCAGTTGTGGGGCTCGAACTCTGGGCCTGGGTGCTGTCCCTGAGGTCTTCAGCTCAAGGCGAGTGCTCTACCACTTGAGCCACAGTGCCACTTTCGGTTTTCTGGTGGTTAATTGGAGATAAGAGTCTCATGGACTTTCCTGCCTGGTCTGACTTTGAACAGTGATCCTCAGATGTCAGCTTCCTAAGTAGGATTATAGGCATCAGCCACCAGCACTCCTAGGAGTTTAAAATTTGTAACACAGATGTTTCAAATTATCTAAAGGCCTTTGAGAACCACAAGTTCTATATCAGTTTCATTTACAATTAAAACAATGACATTATTACTGATATATGAACTGAAACTGACTCTTATTCAAAGAGGATTTCAGGCAAAACCTTGAAAAGCCTGTGCTAATTTTTGCACAGACATTTCTCTCTGTCTCTCTTTCTCTCTCTGAGTCTATCTCTGTTTGTCCATTTCACTGTCAGTCTCTCTGTTTCTGTTTCTGCCTCTGTCTCTCTCTCTCTCTTAATTATAGAGAATTCCTCTTAATTCCTCTGAATGAAAATAAAGGAGTTTAAATTAAACAAGATAAAATGAGGAAAGTTTATTTAATTTAACTCTAATGTGCATTTTAGTATAATACATAGTTTTGAAAGGGAGGGACAAGATAAACAACAAAATATCACTCATGAGCAGAATAGAATTTAAGACAATTCCCATTTTCAAATTTTGAGAATGTATGAAAACATGTATTCTAACACTGAAAGTTAAATAATTGCGCAGACAATTACCTATATGAGTCAAATACAGAAATCTGGAGCCAGCTCATTGAGCACTTTTTCCATCAATGAGTGCTGTGTGAAGGCTGAGGATGTAGCTTAGTGGCAGAGTGCTTTCCTAGCATGTGAGAAGTACTGGGTTTCATTCACAGTATCACAAGAGAAAAAAGCTGTGCGACTCCTAATTCCCATCAGCTCTACTTTTTAACAAATTTTAGCCACTAATATGCTAACCCTTCAAACTTAAATCAAATTGACGCCATGGAACCATATTTTCTACCATGACTGTATTCACAAAGTTATAAGGAGGAATGGCTTTACGAGTGACAGTCAGGAAATTAATTTGGTTGAAGCTCCCTACTGAAATGCAGTTTTAAGAATATAGAGGTTTGGGATGTAGCTCAATGGTAGAGTGCTTGCCTTAATAGGAACAAGAATCTGAGTTCAATCTCCCATCCCTGCAAAACAAAAATAAAACCAAAAGCCCAACAATAAAACCAACTATAATCTTATAGATATTCGATCTATATTTTGTAGTTTTCATCAGTAGAAACTATTTCCTCAGGATTATTATATTGTTATAGTAAAGCAAATTAGTAACTATGAATAATTTGTGAAGCATCAAAATGGGTAATAAAAGCAAAGGAAGGCTATAGAACCAAGAACTTAAGTTGGAAGATAGACGTGGAAATATCTTTGTGAATTATGTTCTAAAAAAGAAGGAATAAAAGTTGTTTCCCAAAGTCCCATGAACTTGGATGGGAGCTATGAAACTTTTGAAGTAGCCAGAGAAATGATTGAATCCAAGGAGGCTAAGTGGACTCTTGAACTGAATGAAACCTGCATGGTTTTACAATCAGGACCAAGCAATACTTGTCCCTCTCCTACTGGAAGCAGTGGTCCACGTCACCTCTCTGAATCTGGGTAGGCTTATGATTCTTTTGAAAAATAAAGAAATAATGTCGTGAAGCTGCCGTCATGAAGTGAAAAATGGCAAATCAAGCCTCTTATTTGCTTGCTCTTGCAACCCTGAGCGTCCATGTAAGAAGTCCACCTACCTTAGTGTTACCATGGTATGAGAGAGCCCAAGATGCCAAGCTGAGGCCTCTTATAAGCAACTAGGTTCATAGCTATGACTCATTCCAGCTTTGAGTCATTCTAGCTGAGGTGCCAGGCATGTTGGAGAAGACTCCAGCTGATTCTGGCACCCAAGCACCCCTCTTCCCCTTGTCCTTCCTCCTCCCTTTCTTCCCTCCCTCCCTCCCTCCCTTCCTTCCTTCCTCTTTCCTTCCTCCTTCCTTCCCTCCTTCTTTCTTTTCTTTCTCCCCTCTCTCTTCTTTCTTCCTTCATCTTTCTCTTTTGTTTTGTTGCAACTTAAGTTTGAACTCAGCGCTTCTTGCTTACTTGGCTGGTGCTCTAACACTTGAATCATGCCTTCAACCCAGCTTTAAGCATGTTATTTTTCTCCCAGTGCTAGCTTTGAACTTCCATCCTCCACATTTCAACCTCCTTCAGAGCTTTGATGATACATGAAACTCACTGGCACCAAGCTTTGGTCCCTTTATTCTGTCCCCAGATGTGACCTAATATGGTATGGGATAGGTAATACCATCCCTTCAATTCACTATCTGAGTAGGGTTGAAATAAAATGATGTCTATTTTGTGCCACTGCGCTGCTGTGAAGGAACAGGTGACTAGAACAGGGCTCAGGATACGCCAGACAAACAGAGTCATGGCACACATCTTTCTCAGTAGCTAAGGCCTTGTGCCTGAGTTCAAATCCTCTCCCAAATGAAAAATTGCCTTGAAGCATGAGGAACATTGACCAAATACGGACAGCAAGTGAGACCTCATACTTCTGTTGTCTGGGGTAGGTCTGGCTTTATCTTACATCTGTTAGGACCATATGAAACAGGAAAATGATGTTGTTTTTAAATAGCATTGTTGTTTTTGGTGGAAATGTATTTGAAATATAAAAAATATTCAGAGCTGATTAAAATATGTGTTGATTAAAACTTTGATTGTAATCTGAAGTGAGATTGTATATTTGTGAATATACAAACATGTTTTGATATTTTCCTTTTTAATGATTTGCCAGAAACCACAGGAATATAACATTTAGATCAAATTAGGAAGCTCACTGTGGCTTTTTTTCCTATTTAGTTATAATCTTTACTACAAAAAATAAATAGTCACAGAGTCTTTTGGCCTATAGATCTGTTTCACCTTGAACTAAAAGCAATTTACCTTCAGCAGAAGTTATTAAGGACCTCAGAGCCCTCTTACAGGTGAAACAGAGCCCAGAGATGTGAGTGGAACTGCAAATGGTTGTTTTTCTTTTTTATTTCTATTTTTTCCTCTTCCATTTTTGCAATGTAGGGAATGCATCATACATGCCAGGCAAGCCCTCTGTCCCTGAACTACTTCCCCAGCCCTGGAAACAGCTTTAAGTTCATTGAAGAATGAGTCCTGCTGCACAAAAATTCCATTGGACCAAGGATAGCAGACATGGATGCATTTCAGATGATTTAGAAGCTTAGGTAGGCTCTGAAGAGACACATTCTACTGCTTCACAAGCATTGACATGACTGCTTATGGGTGGAGAAAGACTTATGTGGTGGAACCCAGTGTTCTCTGAGGCCTTTTAGATAAAGGAACTGGAACAAACTTGATCTTCACTTTGGAACCACAGTGATGAGACTGGCCAAAGTGTTAAGTCAAAGGACTATAAATTCTTACCTGTGAGGTAGGTATTGTGTGAGGAATTAATGAAATAGTGAGAGAGGGGCTGAGACATGTCTTCATTCAAATCCAGTTTCTCAGGTGAAACAACTCCATTTTCTTCTCCACTCAGGTAGCGCATAAATCCATCCACTGATATCTGTCCTGGAGGAAATGAGAGTTAAGAAAAATATGAATGTATTCTGTATGTGTGTGTGTGTGTGTGTGTGTGTGTGTGTGTGTCTATCCTGTGGGGTGGTGGTGGTTGAAATTAGGGTCTCACATTGCTAGGTAAGTACTCTTACTATTGAGCTTCTAGCCTTGTTTACAGATGGTTATTTCTGACATGACATTAATTCTTGCCCAGGCACAAATCTAGCATGATCTGCCTGTGCTAGGCTTCTGATCTTATCCAGGGAAACAAGTGTGTGCTTCTGTATCCATCTCTCTGTTGAGGAGGGGTAACAGGAACCTTTTTGGTCTGGGCTGGCCTTGAACCAAGATCCTCCCTAGGATTACAAATGTTGATAGATTCTCCTTTAGTACTGCTGATATTAATATCAACCCTCTACCCTCTCACCTCCAAATCATCTTGATATGGATAAATAATAGTTTAGGCTTAGATAAAATAAAATGTACTTTCCTGGCCCCCAAATTTCAGAGGATTTAAATAATTAAACATCAACCCCTTTTTAGTTCTTTTTTTTCCTGCTTATGTGGTGCTGAGGAATCGAACCTAGGGCCTCATGCATGCAAGGCAAGCACTCTACCACTGAACCACCTTCCCGGACAACCCTTTCTTTTTTAAATATAAGAATCATGGATCAACTTTATGAATAGTGTCTAAAAATTACCAGTGTTAAATCTCTAGGTGATAGAAGTGATTTTTCCAGACTTTCTATTATGTATACCATATAAGATCATTTTATAATAAGAGAAACACAAACATGTTTTGTTAATTACCTTGAACTGGAAGTATTTTTAAGATAATCATATTTGTCTTGGAAACAGGAAATTAAAACGGACAAAAATGAATGTCAGAATAAGAAAACTGAATTACCAAAATAAGAGTGGTTTTGGAAACAATCCGAAGTCATTTTGGGACACAGCTTAAATATTTTGGAATTTTAAATATTTTGGAAGCGGGGCACTGGTGGCTCACGCCTGTAATCCTAGCTACTCAGGAGGCTGAGATCTGAGGGTCTTGTTTGAAGCAGCTCAGGCAGGAAAGTCCATGAAAACCTTTCATCTTCAATTAACCACCAAGAAACTGGAAGTAGAGCTGTTGTTCAAGAGGTAGAATGCTAGCCATGAGAATAAGTGCTCAGGGACAGTTGCCTAGGCCCTGAGTTCAAGCCCCTAGAATGTCACAAAAATATTTTGAAGTATAAAATTTATTGAGGTAAAATTCCTCAAGAAAAAGCCATTTTTTATTGTCTTCCTATCTTGTGCAATAACTCTAGCTTGGAAGCCAGTCAATCTAGAGTGTACATTCTTCTTTGTTCTTTTCTCACTTTCTTCCTCTTCACCTTTTATTCATTTAACACAATTTAGTTAATACCTGCATATGTGAAGTACACAGAAAACTAAAGCATAGAAAACCTAGCCTCTGTCTTCAAAGAGATCATCCTCTAATAGACAACAAGACCATTCATCCCCTGACCCAGGCATCAGCAGGTGGATGCCTAGGTATCTTTGTCATTCCTAGGATCTATTATGATGCTTTGTGCATGGTATTCAGCCTCTTCTTTTTCGTGATTCTACTTTTTGAAAACAGAAAAGAAGTCCTTTTGTAACTGGAAGACAGTATAATTTTGTTTGATTCTTATTATTTTTTGATTAGGTTAAATTGATCAATTTGATTTTTTTGTTGTTGCTGGTCATGGGGTTTGAACTCTGGGCCTGGGTGCTGTCCCTCAGCTCTTCAGCTCAAAGCGAGTGCTCTACCATTTGAACCACAGTGCCACTTCGTTTTCTCATGGTTTATAATAGATAAGAGTTTCATGGATTTTCCTGTCTGGACTAGCTTTGAACTGTGGTCTTCAGAACTCAGCCTCCTGAGTAACTAGGATTACATGAGCCACCAGTGCCTGGCTTGATTTGACAATTTTAACTTAGGTAAATGGCTATTTCATAAAACTCAATCTCTACTTGTAACTATTCCTTAGAGGGCAGGCAGTAAATCCAAGTGTCTACTAGGCCAGGAAAGAAATATAATAGGACTGCTGGGTGCATTTTCATACCAGGGAGCATGAGGTTTAGTTAACAGTCTAGTAGAAACCAAGTAAGGCTTTCCTTCTCAAGACATGTGAGCCACAGCAATAGAGGACTAGGTAAATTAACATCTGGTTATATGAGGCTATGTTTGACTCTGAGGCTGTCAATTTTTTTGTTGGACCAAATATCTTTTGATCTGTTCAGTGAATGTTAAAGGCAATTAAAATAAGACATATGCCAATAGGGCAGAGATGACCAATGAATTTTAACATTAACATCAATTTCTTCTTATTGCTAATGACTTCTGGGCATTTGTGTGGAGAAAGACCTTGAACTATGCTAGTGACTAATCTTGATATCTGCACTGGGTACAAGACAGAAAAAGGAGACATATAAGCTACAAAGGTTATTCTCCAATGAAGATACTTCAGTTCAGTTCAAGGTATAATTATTTTCCACATGCTGAAGAATGTATCAAAGTTTACTTAATCTATTAATGAGAAAACTAGGAAGATTACAAAACCAGTTCAAAGGTGCTATGAGACAACACATACACACACACATTCTTTTCTTGGTTTTTGTTATTGAGACATCTGATAAATATGTTCTTGCACATACTAAACAAGTATTCTATGATTGAGTTATGTTGTCTGCATCTATGTATGGACTTTTTCCCACAAATAAAACAAAAATTAGACAATATTGCGAAGTTATATACAAAGTTGGATAGTGTGCTATCTGCAAATAAACTACAAATGCTCAGGCTACCTTCTCTACTTTATTATTTCATAGAAATCGAAAATTTTTAACTCTGTGTGTGCATGTGCATGTGCATTAACACGTGTGTATATGTGTATGTCTGTGCTGGAGATTAAACCTAGGAACTTACGTATGTGAAGGAGGCATTCTACCCTTAGCTACACTTCTAGATCCTTCATATAATATTTATCATAGATAGAAATTAGTTAAAGAGCAAGAGTAATATGGGTTAGTGTTCTTGGTTATTATTACATTAAATATGTTTTGAAATGTAGTGAAGAAATTTATCTAACTTTGAATATGAACAATGAATAAACCTGAAGAGTAGCTCACAGAGCAGTTCAGACACCAAGCAGACACCAGACATCAACCTCTCAGCCCTAAAGCTTGCTCTGCTCTTGGTTCTGTGCTTACTGAGTAGGTATGCTAGAGTTTGAGACAATATACCAATCTCTCCTCCTTTTTTATTTCTCCCATTGGTTATTTTGAAGATAGTATTTTGCTTTTTGTCTAGGTTAGACTAGATTATTATCCTCTTTTGTTTCTGGAATGACAAATGTGTGGCACCTGCACCCAGCCATTGGTTGAGATAAAAGAATTTCACAAACTTATAATGCCTGGGTTGACCTTGAACTCTGATCCCTCAATCTCTACCTCCCAAGTAGCTAAAATTACAGGCTTGAGACACTATATTTGGCTTTCAAGACATCTGAGGAATCAAATGATAGGCAGAGATATGTCAAAATAAGAAAAAAAAGTAAAAATAAAGATATATAGTCAGTGTATAATTTAATAAGCATTAGCTAAGGGCCAGGAGTTCAATTTCATTAACACAAATCATTTGGAGAAACAAATTAGCTAAAAAAAACAGAGCAAAAGGGCTCAAAGCATGGCTTACATTGTAAAGCACCTGCCTAGCAAGTATGGGACTCTGAGTTCAAACTCTAGCATCAGTAAAAAAAAAGTTCATGTACTTCGTTACATTGTATGTGGGTAGCTATTGCTCCATCAATACTCATTTCTCCTCTTTGGTATAGCTTTGGAAGTATTTCCTATTATCAATCCTAAGTAAAACAATAGTACAGACTAGTACAGAATTGGATACTGATAATATCGTTCAGACTATTTTCCTTAGATTGCTGGGCATTGGCTCAAATGCATCAGTCTTTATTTTTAAAAATAAATCTCAAATCATTTGCAAGATTGCTCATGATATTTTTCAAGAGTTAGTTGATACTTTTAAAAGAGATAGCTGATGACACACTAGAGCAAAACTTCTTGACCACAAAGATAAGATGGGGCTGGGAATGAAGCTCAGTGGAAAAGGGTTTGTCTTGAATGTTCAAGGTCCTAGGTGAAATCCTTATAGTGCAAAAAAACAAAAAGTTGGAGAACGTATTTCATTTCTAAATAGCACAAGAAATCCAGGTTCCACTCTGTCAGCAGTAACTTGTCAGGGAAAAATTCCCTTATCATGATTAAACTCTATGATTAAATTTCCTTTCAATTTCTGATTATATGAATTAAAGTGAGCCAGTAGGTTAGTTGTTAGTTAAATAAAAACAGAATGTCCTGGGATAGAAATGTGGCTTAGTGGTAGGGTATTTGTCTGGCATGCATGAAACCCTGGGTTCGATTCCTCAGTACCACATAAACAGACAAAGCTGGAAATGGCGCTGTGACTCATGGTAGAGTGCTAGACTTGAACGTAGAGAGGCCCAGGGACAGTCCAGGCTCTGAGTTCAAGCTCCAGGACTGGTAAAAAACAAAAATAGAATGTTGCATATTAGAATGAACTCATGAAACACCAAATCACACTAGGAAATAACTTGATCCTATTCTAGAAAATCATAGTTATATTTTCTATTGTAAGTTCAGAGGGATAAGTTCAATTGGCAAGGTCTGAAAATACAATGGCTTACATGTTTTCTTCAGAAAGACTGGTATACTTTCAACTGGACCTGTCACTCGGATAATGACATCTAAAGATCTTAATAAACATGTATAATATTTAACTCACAATCAAGTAGGAAAATTTATATTCCTCAAAGAATGGAAAAAAATCCTTGTTGATCTATGAGACTATTTGAAAGAAATTCTGGTGTTCAATGAAGAAGGTGGTAGGTGCTGTGAAATGGGAACAGAGCTGATTTAATTACAGAGCAATCTTGAAAGAGCATAAGACTAGA